CACTGGCGACCGACGCTGTTGGGGGTTAGTCGGTGAGCTTTCAACCCCACGCAAACGGGCAGAACGAATCAGTCTGCCCGGGATTTTATTGTTGGCTACATATTGTTGACCCACGACCACATCTGCCACAACCAGTCGAAAAAAGGCCCAAAGCCCGCCTCGATGCGCATGAGGGGCTGCCCCTTGTGCTTCACCACGGCACAGCGCTCGTGGAAGTGGCTGTGCAGTCGCTGAACCACCCCGTATGGGGCATCCTCGCGGAGTTCGCTTGAGGGAGATCAATACGTACGCACACACACACACACACACACACACACACCTGTGTGTGTGTGTTATATCATAGAACATATATATATATACATATTATTGACATATTATTGTGTTTGACCTCTTCATGCATTGTTCACAAAACAATAAAGAAAATAAGCTCAGGTGATATCCCCAACAGCATGCGGTGCTCTTTTTAGTGCTCGCACCACCCTGCAGCCCTCGCAGAACCTCGTGGAACCCTTTTGGAACCCTGGTGGAACCCTGGTGGAACCCTGGTGGAACCTTGCCTCAGGGCCGCCCCGGACCACCCCGGACCCTATCTGGGCTGAGAAACCCCCTTGGCTTTCAGCTGGGGAGAAAAAGAGCGTCTTAGAAAAAGAGACCGGGGTGGTTTCATCATCTTTGGCCCGGATTCCAGGCCCGGGTCCTGAAGTCCGAAGTGTTCTCTCGCCTGCTTGAGGTCCCGTTTGGACACATCGGACCAACGTGGTGACAACATGTGGAACTTCCCAAAAAGACGAACCCCTGTGAAACCTCCGGCCCAGCACCCCAATCCTTCCGGCCGAGAACAGCCAGCTCTTCGTCGTGAGCACTGGCCTGCATTGCGTGTCTCGGATTCTGCGTGGCTGTGTCCTCTTGTGAGGAATGACGTTTGGCTGGCTTTGAAGCGAAACCAAGGCATTCAGTTGCATTATGTTTGTTTGGAGGGAACCCTTTTCGGCGGTTGAAACATAAACCGTCCATATAGATCTGTCCCTTTTTGGAGAAAGACCCTTTTGATCAATTTGGGGAGACAAACCCATTAGGGGCATCCTAGCACCGCATCCCTCTGAGAATCACGGCCACCACGCTGCAGCGCGGATCTGTCTCGCAGTTCACGTAGCAAACCCGCACCGCCGGCCTAGCACAACAGAGAAAGGGAGAGAAATACCAATATTGGATGCGCCGAGCCCTTGAGGAAACCCAACAAATGGAACCCTGGCAGCCACCGGCGCTCCTCCTCTCCTTGGTCTGCCCCACCAGCGCCACCATCAGCGTCCTCTCGCCGAGCCGAGCTTTGGCATGCCGCTTGCGGCACTGCGGCATGGCTCCCATGTAATCCTGCGTTGAACTCGACGGCTGGCAAGATGTTCCAAATCCAATGAACTCGACCCCGCTTCCCTACCGGCAACAAACTGAAACAAACCAAACCACCAAACCTCCTACCTCTGGACTTTAGGATCTTTGAAGAATTGCATCGAAACCGTCTCCTGCCGGTAGTGCCTTGGATCTCGATGGTCTTCTGATTCCTGGCCGAAGAAAAGACCGGCGGCTTCCCTTTGCTCCACCATCAAGACAGAAATGGCTAAACCGCCAAGGCCAGTGCTATTTACGGGGGCATCCCTTTGCTTCCTAGTACTTGCAATGTGTGGTTTTGGAATCAACCCTCCACGCAAGAACTTGGCTTGCATGCATGGAACCCAAAGTGCAATATTCACCCTGCACTGTCCCCCAAAACTAAAGGATCCCTCCCTCTACAATGGGGCTCGGTGCATTTCCATTAGAGAGAGAGAGAGAGAGCACCGTGCACATAACTGGCTGCTGGAGTGCCGCGCTCCTGATGCTGTTCAGGGACAGCTGAAATTTCGCCTCACGCTCCGAGGCTCTCGCTTCGCACTGAGTTGCTGCCCAAATCATCCATGGTCCACAAAAGTCCCACGGACATCGACCAGCGCACACGCAACATGATTCAGACCCACCTTCCCTGTTTCCGAGAAACCCTCTGGCGGATGGCGCCTCCGCGTTGGGGAACATCATCGAGGCGCAGACAGGAGAGCCGTCCACGGGCCTCTCCTCCCAAAGCGGTATTCCGGGCATGGGATACCCAGCCTTGGTTGGTCACCCCGAGACACGGGGAGAAACCACCAACTGGTGCCGGTCGGCACTAGAATTTGGTCTAGTCGCACCTGAGGCAACTGAACAATAGGGAGCCCCTATTGGTTCAACGCAGACCAAACAGAAGTCAGCCGCGACAAGTCCCCAAATTCACCGAACTGCCCAACCGCCTTCCCTCCCAAAGCGCATCCAGGCCTGGCCAGGATCATGCCTGGCGTCCAGCGGAAGCAAAGCACCCTCTTTGTGGATCTATCTCTATTTGGGAACCCTCAAAATCGCCGACGTCCTGCTGGTGTCCCTTATTCAAATTCAAAACCAAGAATGAACTCGTTAGATAAGGCGCCCCCGTACATTGCACACTGCCTTTGCACACGTCAACATGTTTGTGTCTGAAGCGCTGGCATTTGCGATCGACCAACATAAACAGGAGCAGCACTGCAATGCTACCATGCGACCTGTTTCTATGTTTGCTCAGTTGCCTGCCCTACCTGAGGGCGAGCGAAAGCATCAGTTGTGACTTCTGAGGCACATGCAAAGTTTCATGACGGTTTCCTTTGGGTTCCCAGAGGCTGTAAGCCCAGATCTTTTTAGGCCAATCCGGGCGGCAACGGCTCGACCGAGCCTCGGAATGCGTGGGCCCTCCGGAACTCCTGGCGAATCGCGCCACATGAAGCTTGAGTAACCTCCCCGGTTGTTTCGCCTCCGCACAGGGGGCCAGATCCGAGTGCTTGACTTGTTTGACTTGTGCAAAGCATGCATACGTGCAGCACTTCAATCCTCGAGGGATGCAAAACCCGCACACGCAGGCTTCACAAAAAAGCCGACATGCTGCAATGGAGCGCAAGGGTTTTTAGCCTATTTGGGCAACTGGGTCTAACAGCTGCTTTATGAAAGCGCCTATCCCAGCCAGTGCCCACCAGCAAATGTTAAAGGACAAATTCAGCGGGAGTTCCAAATGTCTGCGACTGCTCCAACAACCCAGCCTTTCTTCTCCTCTCCTGGCAGTGAGACACTCACAAGATGGGGTGGAGGTGAAGATTTAGTTTTTCCTCTAGATCAATTATACTGACTAGACCGTACCAGAAGTGCGTGCTTTCAGATTTCGTCTACGAAATGCCGTCATGACGGACATGGGCCACGTGGTGCTGGCGAGTGAGTGAGCCGAGAACCACGTGGAGCACAAGGCGAAGCGCATGACGGTAGATCAGGTGTCTTGGACCTGGGAGGACCCCGAGGGCCTTGAGGGCGCGGTTCCACCTTCAGCGAGCGGATCAGCTGGGGTGAGCAGACCAGCTCGGTCTCTGCGCATCAATGGGCTGGCTTGCACCGGACCCGCGTCGAGCTGCGGATGCGCCCGAAGAAAGTTGATGTGCCGAGATCATGGATGGCAAGCACGCTCACTCCACGGTGGGCCGCGACATGACCAAGACGTCAAAGGGATGAAACTCCGTTTGCTAGTGCTCCTCCAAGCACAAGGCTACAGCTTTCAACACCGTCGCAAAATGCGACGGTGCACTGGTTTGGTGCGCAACCCGCAGCGCCAAACCAACCTGCAATTGGAAGCAGCCCCGCGCACTTGATTCATGTCCACGACGCACAGAAGGCAAGCCAGCGGCGAGGATTTGAAGCAGACTGCCCGAGCTCAAGACTATGTGGCCTTTCCAATTGGTGCGCCGCAAGTGGCTCCTATAAGACAACATCAGGCAGCACAAGGAAAAACTGCCCATTCCCAAACCGCAGACCAACCCCCCGCACAGATTCTCTCCGACAGACATGGACATGGCTTTTCAAATGGCAAGATTTCAAGGGCGACCAACAGAGCAAAGCCTGGTATTAAAATTGCCAAACCACATGTAAAGACTGAAAAGGCGGGGTTTTAATTGTGGCTCACATGGCCCCGGTTTCCAGCTGCCTTCGCTCCAGCACGCCGGCACTCCCCTGGACACCAGGAGCAGCAACCACACCACTAGCCTCACGAAAGCAACACATGGCGAAGCGAAGCACCCGTGAGCCTCTTGCAGTCCCCTTGCACTGTCCTTTTCCCCCAACAGCGCCAAGGGCTGTATTTTAGTCTGGACATGCTTTTGGCTGTCTGTGTGTGTGTGTGTATGGTTGTGTGCTTGTGTGTTTGTGTGTGTGTGTTTGACTGTGTTTGTCTGTGTGTGTTGTGTTTCTGTTTGTGTTTCTGTTTGTGTTTCTGTTTGTGTTTCTGTTTGTGTTTCTGTTTGTATTTCTCTTGTGTGTTTCTGCTTGTTTGTGTGTGTGTGGCTGGGTGGGGGGGGGGCAGGCGGCTTCGCGTTCCCAATGTGGAACAGGCACTGCAAATGGTTGGTCCCCTTTTGGCTTCCAGTTGAAATCATCTAATGGCGCTTCAACTTGCTTGAGACCATCGAGGAACCCATGGCCCATGGGCATCCATTTGCCTCTCGGCCTGACAGGCCCCGAAGGACACGCTTCGCGCTTCCGGCAAAGGCCAAACCCGTTTGCGTCCTATCGTGCGGAGAAAGCCGGGTGCCCCGGTTCCCGGAAACCCCTCGGGGGTCCGGCAGAAAGAGCAGCACCGCCAGCAGCGGCACCTCGATGGAGGGACCGAATGGCAGCGGTTTTTGTTGGCTTCCCTTCGAAACCCAAGGGCTGTTGGTTCCTGAAGCCACAGGAACGAATAAGCCCATGAAACAGGAAGAAACACCGACTCAAATGGGCGTGTGGGTGTGTGTATGTTTTCTTGAGAGTACCCTTTTCACCGTGGAAAGTGACATGAAAAGGACCCCCCGCCTTTCTGGGGTACCGGCCCCTGATTTCCTGACCCCGTGTGTTGTATTTTTTTGTTTCGAACGGCTGCATCTCGGCACTCCTGCAGGCTGCTTGACACCTACTCTCCTGCGAACTAACATGGACCCAAAAAACGGCCATCCCTTGCAGAAGCTCCTTTCTTGCGGGGGACCCCCCCTTTTTCGGCTCCACGTTCATTTCTACCCACCTGGCCCCGGAAACTTCGGACGCGCCGCTCCGAGGGCGAAGCGGCCTCGTGGATCGAGACCTGCGTGTCGGGAGACATCTGCGTCAGGGCCTGGCGGGCGACGCAGAAAGCCGCAGGGCTTCGGGTGTCGGATCCCCGAAAAAATCCCTCAGCCCTTTTTGCATGCCTGTGCGGTGAAGGCCTGTTTTTGCCAGGTCCCCCCCCTCCCCCCTCCCCCCCCCAAAAAAAAACAAGTCAAAAGAAGTGATCTCAACTGCTGGAATTAAACTGTCAACCCCTTCAGACAGGCAAGCCAGCTGTGTCTCCTTTTTTGCTCACTCTTGCATGTCACTCCCAGAGTCTCCCTGGACATGCTGAAGGACAACCGATTTGATTGCTCCCCAATTGGCCTGATTCCGACAAAGACCACTGCACAGCAGGCAGCTGTTGCATTGTTGCACCCATAACATAAACACGTAAACATCACTCAGTTTGGAACGCTGCCGCACTCTGCGAGCAGTGCATCATCATCTAACTCGTGCGTCTGGCTGTACTGGCCACATTGATTATGTCAGGCACAAATCCAACTACTCTCAGAAGGGGCCAACCACGGTTTCCTCGGAACCAAAGCTGTCCCGGTGGCATCGGCCGTCTTCTTCACCTTCAGGCGCCCAGCTGTCTTGCTTGCGCTTGATCTTATGCATGAGACCACGCTGCTCCTCCAGTTGCCGCTGCAACTCGACGTTCTCCTTGCCGCGCGGGGAGAGTCGCGGCTTCAGGTGGGGCTTGAGGATGACGGTGGCATCTTTCGAGGCCTCCTGCCAGCGCGCATCCCGCTCGTCCAGGCCACGTTTCAGGTCCCGGCACCGCTCCTCGTCTTGCTTCAGCTTGGCCTCCCAGTGGTCCAGATCCGCATGGCGCTGCTTCAGATCCCGCACCTGGGCGCGTAGCTCCTCCTCTTTGGCCGTCAAGTCCCCGGACCGGGCCTGGCTCTCCTTGCGGTACTGCGCCTCGCGCTCGGTGAGCCGGTCGAACATCTTGGCCAGATCCGCCTCCCGGTCTGCGACCCTCTTCTCACGGGCCACCAAGTCCGCCTCGCGGTCCACCACGCTGCGCTCCCGCAAGCGAAGCTTCTCCTGCAAGTCAAGGAGCTCGCTCTCCCGCACCGCGCGCTCGTCTGGCACGACCATTGGTCGTGTCTCCTCGCTCCGCCAAGCGGCACCCTCTGGAATGGTCTCTTCCGAATGTCGTGATGCCCTCAGGTCCGCCTCATCCGAGGGCCCTGTTGAGTCCACGAGGCGGTGCGGGTAGCGAAGCTCGTTTGCACGCTCATGACGACCATCCCTCTCGTGGCTGGCTTTGTCCCAGCCATCCCTTGCTCCATTCTGAGCGCCGCTCAGGCCGCCCGCCTTCGGGCGGGCACGGCGATCACCCTCGCTTGCGTCGGGCGGGGAAGGTGACACGGGCTCAGCACGCACCGGCACTGGCGCGAAGGAAAGAACCTGCCGGGGCTGCGGCTGCGGCGTGCCCTTGGCGCCCAGCGACGCCTTGGGCTGCGGCGATGCTGCACGCAGCACGCGCATCCCAGACATGTCAGGCGACATGGCTCGGCTCGAGGGTGGAGTTCCTTCGCGGATTGCTCTGGCAACAAAGGAGCCTCCAACACCCGCAGGTGGCGGTGTAAAGGTTCCTGGCTCGCGGTCATGCCTGTGACTCACAGGGTAGGCCGGGCCCTGGGAGCGGTGTGTCAGCGGCACTGAATGCAGGATCTGCGGCTGCGGGATGGGCCACTGGCTGAAGGCGTGCGGTCGCACAGGAACAGCCTGCATTGGTGCCCAACCTTTGGCCCGCGCGTCTACACTCTTGAGCCAGCTTCCTGGTCGGCCTTTCAAGGATCCTTGAGTGGCCAAAAGCAAGTCCAAACCTTCTGTATGCCACCATGGTCTTCCCAAAAAGTGCATAAAGTCCAGGAACTCAAGCAAGAAATATGGGCCCAAGTTCAACCTCGCGCCCCAAAACCAACTCCCCCCCCTGAGTTCCGGTCCTGCAGGGCGGACCCCACCGAGATGCGCAGAGGCGCATAAGGCGCATCCACCTCGATGGCCTCACGCGCGAAAAGTTGCGCGAAAGCTGCCCCAACCTTGGGCCCGACCTGGTGATTCCTCTATGGAGGTGCTTTAGGTGAGATGTGGCCCAGGGTTCATAAGGGAGAAGGCAAGAAACCGCCGGTCTGGCGAGTTGAGCACTTTCACCAAATGTGTTTACTGTGATGGGCAACTGGTGTCCAGCATCTTTGACAACCCTTGGTATGGGCTCGCAAAAAAAAAAAAAAACCTTGCTTTTTGCATCCTGCTCCAGAAATGAACAGAACCAAAAAGCATCGCAACAAGGTACAAATGGTTAGATCTATTGCGAAACCAAAAACCAAAGAACCAAAAAAAAACAAGCATCTTTGACAAGACCCTCCCCCCCCCCCCCACAATGGCACGGCGCTTAGGGCAGCCGCTGGAGTCTCCCTGCCTGAGCCCCGCGATGCTTCTTCTTCGATCGAGTCGGGTGACTTGGCTGTGGGTCAAAACCCATGGTACCATGTTGGGGCAGGGGCACCACCCATTTTAGTCTATTTTAGTGGGGATTGGGATGTTCACTGGGTGTACGCGATTTTGAGCCACCGCCACTTCGGGGAACAGGAAGTGCCAACCCGAAAAGCGGGGGCTGACCGTGCTTTGGGAATCCGCGGTTCAGAGGTGCCACCCACTGTCAAAACAGGGCCAAGGAGGCACCCTCAATCCAACTCTAAAGGGCGCCTTGGAAGAGAAACTGCTGCAACAATCCTCCCCTAATTTAGACCAGGGGCTGCTTTGTCGGCTGTGTCGTTCCGTGCCGGATGCTCAACTGGCAGTTCTCATTGATTTGTGGCAAACCCCCTGAGCATTTGCTCATCCTTGACTGCCAGCCAATCAATCGCAGAATCATTTTGGGCCCTTCCCCGCTTCAGTCACAATCAAAACCTGGTACGGTACGAAACAGGCCTAGCCAAATCTATCTACAGAACTGAAAGGGCGGTCGCGCCTATTTCTCGCTGGGACTGTCCCTCATCCTTACAGTCGGGGGCGGGTGGGTTTTAGCTGGGCCATCAGCCAGTCATTACCGGGCGTCCCGGCGCAGGCTGGTGGACACCTGCCTGGGAGCACTGCCCGGTTTTTCCGAAATCCCAGAGAATCAGATGCTTCGGGGTTGATCCCTAAGACTTTGTGGGCGTGTCTTTGTTGGGGGACCCCCTCAAAATGGCGGTGCTCCTTTTGTTTCCTTTTAAAGCCAGCGTAGCCTGCCAGAAAAAGACACCCTCTTCGCGGCGCGATACTACGCCTTTCTCTTGTGCTCTGAGCATTTCTGTCAAGTGCAGGGGATCTCCGGCGGGAGGGGTCGCTGTTGTTGCCTGCCTGGACCAGGCCAGGATGGGGACAGTGGGGTGAAAATCGATGGCACACCCACATGTAGATTTCATCCTCTTTAGCGGCAGAAAGGGAGTAGTGACATCTAATTTCAGCCCGGTGTACCTTCGCTTCCTTTCAATGCAAGCTAAAACAGCTGCCCGCCGATTTGGGAAAACGCCCGGCGACGGCTTGAAAGCTGTTCGGCTGAGCTGCATCAGCAGCATCTGCGCGGCATCTTCGATTGCCTCGGCAGGGATTGCCCTTCAACTTCTAAGGTCGATCCTAGCCACAACCAGAAGCTATTGACAACAGAGCTTGCAGGTCGTCAAGCCAAAACTGTGTACGTGCATGTCGTGCATCGGCCTCATGTGTTCGCATGAAATCGCATTGGTGCAGTTGCCGTGCAGCTCACGTGACATGGCTGCCATGGGCGCACCTCCCAGAGCTCCTGACCCGCTCCTGCCGCAACGGCAAGTGAATCAAAGCGGGGATCGACGAGCTTCCTTTGCACTGCGAATCTCCGAGTGCCAACTTGCTTTTGCTCAAAGAGCTTCTCTCAGATGGTCATGTCGGTGCTCCGTGCTGTGCTGATGGCTTGCTGTGAAAATCATTTGGTCCAAAGGCAGCCAGTGTCACATACCAAACGTCCACACAGTTGATTTATTGTAACCGCTTCAGGCTCATGTCCGCAGCAGCTCCCCTCAGCTCCTTCTCCTTCATTGGCTAAGGATGTGCTTGGCATGCATCTGGCCCTGCCCAAGCGAGAGCCGGCATGTGGTCTGGGACCCAATGTGGCAGGACCTATCATCCCCTTGTCAAGGGCTGGTTCACTTACAACGCTCTTGAAAACGCAAAGCAAACGGCAAAGCAATCATCAAGGACCCAAAAAGACATGATCCAGATTTGAGCTGGCCTCTGACAAGGGGAAACTTGAAGGGCATTGGCGGGCAAATCCTCTCCAAAGAGCAGCAGCCCAAAGCTCTGAACAACCGCTTGTCAAATGCATGCAGGGTTTGTCTAGTGCCTCCCAACGTCGGGAAACGTCCTCACAGCCTTCCCAACCCCTTCCCAAACTCTCCCGCCTCCGGGCACGGAGGCTAGGGGGTTGGGACCCCAGATCCGGTTCGGTTTGCCTTTGAGCCGACAGCGCCCGCCACATCCACGCCGAACTCTGCGCCCGGAAAGTGCGAGGCTCGCCACTTGGTGCGACTGGACTTGCTTCGCGGCCCGGAGGCAATACGTCCGAGTCTGAATGTCTCACACTGAAAACCCCCAGACCAGGCGCGCACGCGACTTTTTTTCTGCGAAAGGTCACAATGTCTGAAACGAGGCCTCCAGCCGAGCGAAGAGCTGCTCGAGTCCTCGGCACCGTTTTGTTGGGTGTGTCCTAGGGAACCACCCTAGGTGCCCCCAACCAAAGGTTGGCTTCATGTCGGCTGCCCTTTGATGACAAACCAGTCCATCAACATGGTGGTCCAACAAGGGGGATGCAACCAGTTCGATGAAAAACGAGAGGTTATGCTTGCGGCGATCTCATGTCTGCAAACACTTGGGCTGGGGATCCTGACTTGGGCCACCCAATCAACTTGGGTGGCGGTGAATGGGTTCTTCCAACAAGTGGGAGGGGTCCCCTTCACATGCTTGCTTCATGTCCTTTGTGCGTCTCCTCAACAAGCCATCCGAGCAGGGGGTTGCCTGTGCTTGGGACCCCCAGCTTTGGAGCAGCTCGCGCTTCTTCTCCTGAAATGGGCTCACTTTGACATCCCGTAGTACACTGATGTTCACCTGATATTGGCATGACCTGATTTTGACCTGGCCTCACTTTGAGCTTTGACACGGGAAGCTTGACATGCCCCTTTCAAGCCACGTACCAAATCTCCCACGGGCAGGGGAAACCCGTGCCCGCTAGTCTTTGCTGGTAAGCTCGAGGCGAACCGCTTCAGAGTAGGCCCGCAGAATCGCATTTGATCGAAGATCTCTCCAGCAACATTGCAATCTCTCCGCTTGCGGAGGCTGGACCCAATGATAGTCCTGTCCAAATATATAAACCTCGACGTGGCTGCCTCACCGCTTCCGTGAAGCTCAAATTGGTGGTACTACACAAGAATTCTCCTACGACGCAGTCCTGCGTGGGTGCCGCGTCTCAGCCACGCAATAGTCAAACAACCCCTCCATTGAACCAACCCTCTTGAAACGAATTGCGGCAACCCCACAAGTCTTTCTGGAATCTCAACCTGTGCCTCTTGCCCAAGGGGGCACCCTCTGCTCTTTTTTGAGGCACCGGTTTCGCGGGCCGTCTCCCGATTCCTTCGCCGCGGGCTTGCCGGATGACAGCTCCGCCGTGCCCACGTCGTCCACGCCCTGCCCCTGGCGAAGGGAGAGAGGCGGAAGAGATGGGCCCCCTGTTAGTTGGTATTGCAAGGGAAACCAAAAGAATCCAACCAGTTTTTGGGACCCCTGTTTTGAGAAACACCCAATACGTTTCCTCTGTGTTGCCTTGCTTTATCCCGCTACTTGACACCCACGTGCTCAAAATTGAAAACCCCTGAGAGGAATACATGCTTGAATTCACTCCCAACCATTCTTGAAAAGGGTCCCGGATTCCTCGTGAATATTCACAGCCAGGTCACGGTCTCTTCGTAGGGAAGGCGTGGTGGGATTCGCCATGCCATCATGTTGTCCCAAACATCTCAGAATGGAAGCTTAACAAGCACGAGGGCCTGGAAGCAGACCCCTCAGCTGACGCCCCAGCCGCCCATGCGAAGGCGGTCCCCAAAACTCCCCCCCCCGTCGCTTGTAATCCTCACTTTGGGCGTAACCAGACATCTGTTTTTTTCTCCGAGAGATTAGACTCAGACCCATTTGTCAAACTTCCCATCACCCCAAAAACCGGCTGCCGCTCCCAACAGGCCAGGGCCCCTGCTTTTGGCGTCTTGCTTGGGCTCTTTGCTGTGCCTTGCTCGGCTCTTGGGGGGCCGCGGTTTTCGCGTGTGTGTTTGTTTTTGTTTTTTTTTGCGGTTTTTGCGGGTGTTCTTTGTTCCACCTGGCTCTTGGCTGGAGGAACAAGAAACCGGCAAACCCGCCCTTCCCACGCCTCCAGCTGCTTCGCCTGGGCCTCCACCTGCGCCAGCCGGCTCTTGGCCTCGCTCCTGGTGCTTTCTTTCGCCAGGAGCGACGCAGGCGCGGCGAGGAAAACATCGAACACGGCGAGCCCGGGACATGCTGAGTCCTGTCACACGACCTTTGGCCCAACCAAGTCGTACATGTACGATTGAGTTGAGTGTTTTTCGGCCATAAGCAAAAAATGAGTGGTACGCTCTTCCTAGCAGACCGCCAGTTTCAACTTGGCAACCAAAACCCCGAGCAGCTTCCCCACTTCACCAGCCTGGGCACACGGGCCGCAGCAATGTCCGCCTCTACGGCAAGCACCTGGCCAACCACGGGCGCCAGCAACAACCAAACCGGCGTTCCGGCATGAAGGAATTCGTCACCAGGTGGTTGAGACACGAAACCGACGGAAGGGGACACCTCCGTCCCTGCCACAGAACAACAAAAGGCACTCAAGCAAAGGAAAAAAACACAAAGGATCGGCACAAATACAAAAAGCCATTAAAAGAACTCCCCCAGAGCAGCACTGGCAAACCTCACCCCAAAGTCAAGCCACAACACATGAACCGAACGAGAAACCCGATGTCTCCAAAAAACACAGAGCACAAATATCCATCTTTACAAAAACCATTCAACCCAAACCTTGGGCTACCCTCAAAAAGCCATTTGGCTGTGGGTCAAAAATGCGTAGCCGAAATGGAACCCTGATAGGAACCAACTACTAAAACCTGCGGTCCCCTGGTGGCTTTATTTTGACCCATACCCATATGTTGCAAGCGCAAAGCTTGGCAACCAGCACCTGGATGCAAGGTTTGGTGAATGCACACGATCTCAAGAGTGTGTGTGTGTGGAAACTACTGCATGACAAGGCCATATTTTTGTTGGATCGGCGCAACAAAAAGCCATCCACACAAAAAACCGTTCAACAAAAAAAACCCGGGCTACCCTCGAACAATTCAAAGACACGGAGGGCCGCCTGGCGCTCCAGCTCCGAGAGCTGCCGCTCCGAGGAGCCGAGGCGCCGCAGGGACGCTTCCTGGGTCCCGGTGAGAAGAAGCGGCGCCGGTACAGGCGGTGGCTGCGACGACCCCCCAAAAAGGTGGAAAACTTGTTTGGGGGGTTAGTGGAAAACACCGGAAAATGTCAACCAAAAAGTTGAAGTCTAAAGATCCGTTGCCCAATAGCAGCCAAGGTTGAAGTGCGGCGCCGCTAAGCCCCAAAGAGGGTCCAAGATGTTGGACGCCCCAAATGGGCGTGTATAAGAACAATCCTCAACATGGCGCTGATTTTTGGCTCTGTTGGTTTTAGACCAGGCCCAAAAGAGTAGCTCAAGGAGGAGGGGCATCTTTTCTTGGAGTTGGTACCCCTTTTGGGAGGCCAAAAGGAAACCGTTGCCAGACCCAAATGTGTTTCTTAAAGCCCAAGCCCAAATTGAATCCACTGGTGTTCCTCTTAATCCTAAGCCCCAACCAGGTGTCTCTTGCTCAAAGGGGAAGAAGGGAAAAGGGCACTTTTGGGCCCTTTGGTTTTTAACTGGTTGCCGATTCAAATTGCTACACATACGATGGATTCCCCAAGCTGCGGGAAAATACGAGGCTTGAGTTGTCCCCCTGCTTGCAAAGTTTACGCCATCCACGGAGAAGCAGGGATTAGGAAGCAGCCCCAATGACGCAGCAAAATCCTTCTCATCAAAGCACCACACAAGTGTCGGAACCTCCAAAAATCTCACGAAGCAGGCTACTGCTTACACAACAGGAGGCAAATGACTCAGACTCATTTCATGTGGGTGTTGTTGTTTGCAAGCCTTTTGGCGCCCCATCGCCGACCTTTCACGATGCATGTGAAATGTGAGTTCTTTTAGCCGCGAGCCCATGAGTTGCAGAACGCCCGACGCAAACCTGACTTGCATTTTTGATTCGCTGGGAATTTGGCTAAAGGAGACTGTCTCACCGGCCATAACTGTTCTGAAGGCATCCGGAACAAGTCTTTGATGGACTGAGGAAAGCAATGCTATCCCACATACTTTCACCCCAAGGCAACTGCACCCACACAAATAAAAGGCCCAGAAAACCGCTCTCCCCCCCAACCCCTCCCCCCCCCGCCCCCACCAAAAAAAAGAACGAACCGGCCGCTGCTTTTCCTTGTCCGCATCGCATGTCACATCTTCGCTCAGGCAATCTGCAGGCCCAGCTTCTTGGCCTTCTCCGCCTGGATGGCCCGCTCCCGGCGCTGCGTCACGTGCTGGGACCTCGAAGCGGGCGGCCTCTCGATGTGTTTTTTTTCCCCCCCTTTTTCTTTCTCCGGGGGGAGCTGAATGGCAAAATCCGGGACGGTTTGAGGGTGGGTTTAAGGTGGGCTCAGGGTTTGGCGAAGGGGTTGGTTTAGTCTAAGAGCGGGATTCAGCTCTGTGACGTCCAAAAATGGGAAACCCCAAAAGTTGCGATTTTCCGGAGGTTCCCTTTCTCTTAAACACCCCAAAAAGGGCACCCACCAAAAAAATGAGGCCCCCCCCCCCACCCTCTCCCCCACCCTCCCCCCCAACCCTCCCCCCCACCCTCCCCCCCCCCAACCGAGGCGCTTGATCCCCATGATGCCGCCGCCCCAGCGCCTGCGGTGCTCCAGGTTGTCGTTGAACTGGGCACGGAAGTTGCCGACCAGGTTGTTCAGCTCCTGGCTGCTTCATTTGGTCAGCGCTTCTCTTTCTGGGCTAGCTCCCGGTGCGTGTATGCTTGTCCCCCTTGGCTATCTACCACTGATTCTGTAATTTAATGTGGGTGTCCCCCCAAATGGAGGAAACCCACATCAAAGGTAGGGCGCCCTTTAGCTCCTGCAAATAACCCATAAAAGCGCACCCTCAAGACGGGCACACCCATATACCAAATATGTATGGCGTACCTGTTTTGGAGCTATCAGTTGGACACCCGTGCGAATCTAGAATCTAGTGGGAAAAGGAACAAAGGCACCGCAACGCGTCGTTTGCAGCTTGGGGTGACCCGGAAAATGGACGGAAGTTCTACAAGGAAGGACACCCTGCGGGCCCATGGCCCTGGGGTCAAAACTGCCATGTGTGCGGTGCGTCTTCTTGAGGATAATTTATGTTTGTTGGTTCAAAGCCATTTTGCGGGAGACAACCCCTTTCTTTGGAACAAGTTTCCGGAACCCCCCCGTCTTTCGCCCCATTGTGGAAACATGTTGGCATGGTTCAAGGGGTGGCCGTGTAATTGTCCAAGGTTGCCTTGAAAAAGTCTCCTGGTAAATGGAAACCTGGGCTAAAACCTGCGGTCCCCTAGGGGACACTTTTGATCCATACGGCCCCCCCATACCCCCCAGTGAACATCCCAATCCAACAAGCTCAAAAATGCGTGCTGAATTCACCTTTCCCAAAATGAGACTTTGAACCACGACCCCCGAAAACAAAGCCGCGAACCCGCGACCAGCCGACCCCAACCCCACCCCCCCCAAGGCGTCCCGTCCTTCTCGTCCTCGGGCTTCACGCCGGTGATGGCCACGGCCGCGCAGGTCTTCTGGTGGATCAGCTGGCCCAGGCGGCTCTTGCCCTTGATGATGCAGTACGGAATATCCTCCGGCGGCTCTTTGTGGCTTCCATCAAAGGAACCCAGCTCGGATGACTTTTCTTGGGGTCATTCCCATAGGTGTCCTTTTTGCAAAATAGATGGCCCTGGTAGATGATTGAACCACCGGTTGGTTTTTTTTCCCAGGGCCAACCAATATGTTAAGCAAACCAACCGAAGAGGACACCTATGCCGGCGGCTTTTGGTTTTTTTTTGGGCCGGCTTGGGGGATTCCCGGTGTCCTCCTTGGAGTACCCTGGTTGAAGGCCTTTCTGGGGGTTCCACGCAGACCCAAAGGCAGGGGCGGTGACAGGTGGGGAGGGTTGGTTTGAGAAAGGGCTGAAATTTGCCCCAATCAAGGGGTAAAAAACAGTGCACAAAGCAACGACTGGAAGTTTCATCGCCTGAATACCCTGGCCACCTTTTGGCTACCCCTGGCTGAAAACAACGACTAGGTTTGAGTCCTTTTGCTTGCAGCAGTTGCTTCTACACATACCCTGTCCACCCTCACCAGGATGTGAAAAGCGTTCAAACATGCCAAACTCGCGGCACCATGCCTGACACCACCTCCAGGGGCTGCCCCAGACCCAGCCTCCCCCCGAGTCAAAACCCAAACAATGACTATTCCTTCATCGACTCGTTTGCCTTTCTCTTAGGGCTCGACCAACTCTGCCCCTCCTCCATCCCAGGCCCCAAACTCTCCACCCACCTGGTGGCCTGTCCCCTTACCCTCATCCATCCCCCCAGCCCCCCAGCCCCCTCCCGTCCCACCACTCCCTCCGGTCCTTCTTGCGGCAAAGCGCAGGAAGCCAGCACACCAGCTCGATGGGCTCCACGTCGTGGGCGATGATCACCAGCTTCGCCATCTTGTTCTCCACCAAAGTCGTCACGTGGTTCAGCCCATACTTCAGCACCTGGTGGCCGTGTGGTGGTGAGTTGCTTGAGGTATCACGGATGCTCGGGACTCTCTCGCGGGAGGTCTGCAAACAACAGTATATCCTGAGGTAATATCTGACCTCCTGCGGTTCTCGTAGCATCCGTAGGCAGGATCTTGCAGCTATATTCGGTTTTTTGCCCGGGCGGGCTGGATGCAGCCCTCGCTCTCTGCCCCTTTGTCTTTGCACACCCCCTCAAATATATTGGCAGACCGTTGATCATGAGTGCCGGCTTTCGTGCAGGGGGCCGTAGCGGCCAAAATGGCACAGTGAAAGTGGTCTTGTTCTAGGCGCTGTCTTTGGCTTGGGTGTTTTCAAAGGGGCCTTTCTCAATGACAGCTCGAATCTGTTCCTCCAACCTTCTGCCGCGCTGCAGGCCAAGAACAATTCTCATGAGCCGCAAGCGCAAGCAGTTCAGCGTGAGGACAGTCTCTGACTCACGGAGTGAGCAGACCAAGCTCTGGCGAGTCAAAGACTGGACGGACTCATCAGTCCACGGTGTAAGACTTTGGTGAGTCGAGTATCAATGGCAGCATCTGGGACAAAGTTTACCTGTTCGTATCTAGGCACCACACATGCCAAACGCATGAGTTGCGACAATTGTTTTAGGTAGTGTTTGCTGCCGTTGCTTGTTCTCTCCCTCTGAAGCATACCGTGAGCCTCCAGTCTTCATTGGGAATGCCTCAGAATCAGTTCACCCCACGCTTTCCTTTGGATGCAAACCCGCACACCCATACAAGTTCCCAAATTTCCCCAGGGATTTCTGTAGCCATCCAACCAACTGGGGGAATGCATAGGAATTTCTTCCAAGCCATCCGCAACTGCTTCCTCTCAAAATGCCTTCCGGAAAAAGAAAAAAATCCGCCTGGGGCTTCTTGGTCTTCACCTCCTGGCCGTCCTTCTTCTGCTGCGCCATCTCCATGAGCCGCTGCTTCTTCGCCACCTTAGTCTCCGGCATGTACTTCTTGCACAGCTTCAGCACGTTCGCCGCCTCTCCAACAAAAACGGGGGGGGAGCTGTTGGGCTTGGGGTTGGGAGTCCAAAACGGAGCGGCTGCAAAACGAGGGACGGGCTGGCGGGCTGCCGGGAGACCGTGCCAAAGAGAAGTGATGCGGGGATCAATTTCTAGTGGACCCTTTTCTATTGGGACCCTTTTCGATGGGCAACATTTTTGCATGGGTTCATGTCCACCAACCGCTTTTGGTGCTCTCCTAGAGCTTCAAGGCGCTTCAAGCCCACAGTCCCCCCTTCAAACCTTCCGGCACCACTCCTTGCACCCTCCTCGATGGAAAGCAATGGAAGGCAAAGGAACCATTACAAACAAATGCAAATCACATGAAGCCCAAGGAAACCCTGGACAGCCACTTGAAACCCTTGAAACTGAAACCCTTCAAAGCCAGCGGGTTTCGTCCAAAGCTCACACCCCGCAACCCGCCTGGTTCTTGTCAATGGTCATGCTGAACTGGTTGATGGCTGGGGGCACCTTGAGGCGCATGAGCATGATCCGCTTCTGGCGCTGCAGGTTGATGTACCTCGCTTGGCTTTTTATGGGTCAAAGTTAAACCAGGGGACCGCAGGTTTTGGTCCATGATTCCATTTACCCGGAGTCCATTTTGGGTATGACCCACTGCCTTTTTGCTACAAGTGCTCAACTCTCAGTGGATTTGTTGTCGTAAAATCCCACGCATATTGTTCTCAAGAAGCTGGCCAGCACCCATCCGGTGATGGCCAAAACTGAAGTCCAAACCCATGGGTCGAAAAGTAACTCCAAATAACTCCAAGCCCAACCGCTACCTTCCAGCCGTCGCAAAAGCATGCCGCTGGCATGTCCAAGGCACTTGGGCCATTTCACAAAGCGCGTCAGGTCCCGCTTGGGCTGGATGTCCCCTCCCAGGCGGTAGCTTCGCGGGGCCTCCGGGCGCTGTCTGGGGAAGCCCAGAAAACCCGTAGGAGGTGCGCGTCAAAAGAGGGAATTGGACCAAATGAAGAGCTTGCTTTTGTCGACAAACAAACAAAAAATGGTGTGTGTGTGTGTGTCAAAGTGTGGCTTGACCACAAAAAGTTGGCAAACATGGTGGGGCCCGTTCCTGTAAACCAATCCGGAGAAGAAAAACAATAACACACACACACACAGCTAGTCCAGGGTTGAGCCCTTTTTCCTTTCGTTCCAGCCATCGGTTTTCTCACAAACCAGCTGGTTCTCCCAGAATGTTTGATGGTTTTCTGGAACGAAACCAAAAATTGGGGCAGCCCTTGTAGAGGCTGATGACCATCCCTTCCAAGCAAAAGAGCGGCACTATCAATATGGAGTCTCTGCATGGGAAATGAACCTAAACAATATGGACAGCTGCCTCTTCTCAAAAGGGTACCAAATCCCAAACGAGACAAGCCCATCTGTCCAACCTGCTTTCACCGAACACCAAATGAGGGGAACGGGACATTTCGTGAGTCTCCTGGTTTGTGCGGAGGAATTCTTGAGTCAGTGAACCATCGGCAGTTTTTACCGAACCTCCCAGGAAGGTTAGCTTGGAGTAGCGTTTGAGGCTCCCCCGAGTATCAACATCGAATCATGACTGGGACATTGCCAGGCAATACAGCAAAACTATGGTACAAAGAGGGATCCAGGGAAAACAAAGGAAGAACATCAAATAGAGGGGTCCCCCAAAAAGGGGTGCATGATTCATGCAAAGTGCTTGCCATTCCAAGCCCGGTTGCCTTCTCGAAGAGGGGGTTCTTCTTGGCCTTCTTCTTCTTGTCCGCCAGGGGCGCCGATGGGAGCTTCTTCCCGCCCTTCGCTGCCTTCCCCATCGCTGCCGTGTCTGCCTAATGCTTACGGAATCCGCCTGAGCCCAGCCGCCAATGTTTTCATCCCGCGCAGTGTTGAGCTTCCCTCAGCCAGTAACTAGCACCCACCATTCTAGGGGTTGATTCCTTGTCCATTCTTTTAAACCATCGTTCTTTTCAAAAACCGGCTGTTTCCCCCGGGGGTTTGATGGTTTCCTGAACAGAAGGATCCCTGGAAAGAATGGGGAAGGTACCCCTGGAACAACTACTACACCAAGGACCCTACTTTAAAACGAATATGGTCCAAGCCGATAAGCAGGTTCCAGGCCAGGTTGAAGGGTATCTGTGAATGGCCGCCTGTGTTGGCACCGGCATGTCTCCAATCCTCGCCCCTGCACCGACTCGTACAAAGCGATTGGCCGCCAAATGGGCGGGGACCAACACCCAAGATGTGTTCCTTTTCGTCTCCCTTGCAACCAGGAAAAATGCAGACACACATACACAAACACATACACGGCAAAGCCCTTAAACCCCTCCCCACCCCATCCCTGAGCCCTGCGCTGATGGAGCTGACAGGCGGCTGCCAGCCATTGCCGGCATCTCCATCGCCTGAACCAACGTTCAACTCGCTGACAAGGAAGGTGCTCAAGCATCGGGTTCCCTTGGGAGGGATCTACAAACCAAGGCGGACAGGAGCCGCCAAATTCCAGCCGCCTAGGTTTGTGCTTTATCAAACTGGCCATGGGCAAGACCAAACAGTAGAGGTGATCGTCGTTTCGTGCTTGTCTTGTTTGGTCGCCGCGGCGTCGTGAGCCTTTGCTTTGCACGGCTTGGCTTGTCTTGCTTTTTTGTCTTGCGCCACAATGCACTAGCAATTTCAATTGGCATGTTTGCTGTGATCGCTGAAGTCCCCACCCACCCCCGTGGCCCAAATGACCCCAGGTCTTTGGCCAAGAAGTCCCACCCACGTGGTCAAACTCGGGGCCCCCAAAAACGGGCATCCCCGAGCACCCAACGCCTGCGCAGCTGCCGGCGCCGGCGCTGGCGCTGCTGGGGCTGGGACGCGGCCCACCCAGCTGGGCCTGAGGGTGTGGCTGGTGTTCTCGCGGCCTTTGAAACGAAAAGCTCAGAGAGCCACACGCAGAATTGGCCGTGGGTCAAAAGCTCGGTTAGCCCCCAGTGACATCCCAATCCCCACTAAAATAGGTTCTAAAATGGGTGGTGAATTCACCAACCCCAAAATGGAACCACAATTGGAAAAACCCAAAGACACATGAGACCCAATGGTAGGTGCCGTTTCGCTGTTGTGTGGGTTCTGGATTCTTCAAATGGGCAACGGACAACGTGTCTTTTACTCGTACATTCGACTGGTCCCCCTTCCCCTCGCTCATCGGGCAGTCCCTCAAATAAAACATAGGGGCCATAGACTACACTACGAGCAAAATTGTCAAGAACTCATTCAACTCATTCGAACAACGATGATGCCCCACCTCACATACGCAGGGGAACCATGTCAGAAGATGTTGGTCGTAAGTGGACAAGCAGTTGCCCTCTTTGGCTCAAAAATCCTGATGCTCTGTCAATGCCGGAATCTCAAATTCAAACGAGACTTCATGTCGTGTGGCAAGATGCCACTGAACAAAAAAATGGCCTGCGTAGTTTTCCACACAAACACTCTTGAGATCGTGCGCATCGATCACCAAACCTTGCATCCATCAAGGGCTGGTTGCCAAGCTTTGCGTTTGCAACATATGGGTATGGGTCAAAATTAAAGCACCAGGGGACTGCAGGTTTTAGTCCTTGGTTCCATTTACTAGGGTCCAAAGTGGATACCCCTTTTTGACCCACTGCCATATCCAGCCTCGAGCTTTCCTGCTACTCTTCGCCATCCCAGGGCCCTGTGAGATACGCTGCACCCGGCCTGCCGGGCTCCGCATGCACCTGCACAAGCAGCCGGGCCATCCACAACCGCATGCTACAGAAGACAAAGTCTCGGGCCCGGTTTCGGGAAGGCTTTGAACTTGAGCGGCAAGGCCTAAATGGGGGTGAATTTTATCAAGGCACCCTCTGGACATCAGAATTCAGTGGGGATTTGTGTCCGACCACTTTTGAGCATGTACGTCTCAAAATTCAGTAAGATGGGCCTTGTACAGCTTGTGACCATTGGAACCAACTTCCCGGATGTCCCCGCCTGGCCCATGCGTGCCACCTAGGACGCAGTTCGGAAGATATTGGAGTGCTTACAAAAGGAAGGGGAGTGGGGGTGCAGCCCCAACATGGCGTTTTTCCAATTGGCTTCCCTTTAGACCTACCCGAAGATAAGGCTCAAAGAACACGCGCCCACTTTGCATACCTCGAATCACACAGGTTGGAGCCGCCTGTGTCCTCCTGTTTGGTTTCCCTCGTTTCCCTTGCCTCAGACCAAAAGCACGGAAGGTGACACTTTCAGGGCTTCAGTTTGGGATCCAAGTGTTTAAAAATAAGTCCAAAAAATCCGGGAAAAGGGGATCCAAGTAGGCAGAACCATTTGACAGGGCCCTCTTTGCTTCGTTGCCACGAAGAAGACGACCGGTTTCCCCCGCCTCGGCGTTGAACCGGGCCATGGCGTTGGCCAGCTCTCGGTCCAAGGGCTGCTGATGCTCCCAGCTGCTCACGTGCCGGAAGCCTCGACTCGACGTATCCCCGCAGAATCGTGCGACCCAGTTCCCGTACAGTGGATGGACGAAATCCTGCACTTTGAAGCATGGGAAACCATACCGCTGGTCGGCTACAAGGGAAGGGAATGATATTTCTAGGGCTTCTCAAGTGGTGCAGGATTTCGTCCACCCACAGTATGACTAGTGCACCCGGGCTGACAGTCAATGACAGGGTTTTGCACAACTGCCGCAGAAAGGTTCAACAAAAGGCTTTCAACAGCAATGCTCTTGAGAAACTTCTTTTGAACATTCTGCCACACGGCGACCCAACATGTCAATATCACATCCACATTGGATGTGTTCTTCCGAGCGTCAATTTGCATCCTAGCAAAGACCCCTTCGGGTCGGGCTCTTTCAGAAACCGGGAGGACACCACATGACATGTCGCTAGGGGGGGATTCGCGCTCGAGCGCGCCTCCGGCCGCCATGGAGGCCTGGCCGGGCCTTGGGCTGACCAAAAAGGGCAGTGGGGGAGATCCAGTTCGAGACAAACCGACCAACGGATCATGGGCCAACCACCAGCTAATTGTAGATACCCTGGAATTTTCCCATTCCCCTGTAGACACCATGGCTTCAACTCCACTTCCCTGGAATTCCTGGGAGAAACCAACATTTGCCAGGCTGGACTAGGTTGGACTTGCGCTTGGTGACTCTAAGCGCCCGGCTGCTGCCGGTATGCTCCAGGTTGCCCAGAGGGATACCCGGGCGGATATGCCCCAGGCGGATATGCCCCAGGCGGATATGCCCCAGGCGCGTAAGACCACCCAGTTGGGTAGCCCCCATGGTAGGCTTTCGGGTATGCTTGAGGCGGGTATCCGCCAGGATGTTGGGTGAGAGGAGCCTGCCAGCGGCTCCCAGTTCCAAGTCTCAGCTCTCAGGATGGGTCACCAAAGGTGGGGAGCACAGGGAAAACGACGACAAAGGCAACCAGTGTTTGGCTCTCCGCCTGAAATGGGGAAGCACCAGGAAGCACTAAGCACAGCTTTGTCTGCGTTGTCAAACTCCGCGCTCATGGTCATGCTCTGTGAAAACTATCTGGTTAAGCCCACGATACAAGAATATCAGTTGGGTTCCCAATGTCCAGAGCCCCGCGGATACATCCAGGCCAAATAAAATATCAAGAAGCGAGGATCCGAATCGGTGTGAAACCGATGTTTGGGATGTGGGGGTTGATCAATATTCCATTTAGGGCCCCCAGTTTTGACCAAGGGTAACTTTTCCCACCCAGTGGCTGAAATATCATCCTTTTTGTGGTTTTCCCCAATGGGCACCCCATGAATCGCGGACCTTTTGATCAACCTGTCCCCCCCGGTCCCGGCCTGGCCCGGCCTGCCGTTCACAGCGTCGAGCGCCGCAAAGCCGGAAAAACGAGGGGGCACATCAAACCGAAAAGGACCCGAGAGTGGAGGTTGTCGGCAAGTTGATCCAAACAAGCAAGGAAGAAGAAAAAAAAAAAAAGAAAGAAAGAAAGAAAGACAGAAAGAAAGAAAGACAGAAAGAAAGAAAGAAAGAAAGAAAGAAAGAAAGCGGCGAACGTCATGAGGGAGATCCCATTCTTGACCTTTGGCAAGGGCAGACACCCTTTTTGAAGGAGACTCAGAATCGTTATGTTTGACAGGGGAGGGCGGAGCAAGCGGATTTCCTTCTGCACTAGATCCAGTAATGGGAAGTCGCAGCTTCTAGAAACATGCGCACGCGTCCTGCCAGCAGGCAGGGACGTGGCTGCAAGCAATCAAAGAGGCGCGAATCCTCCCTAGGTCTCTTTGTTCTCTTTGCTTAGCCCCTGATGTCGTGCGGTTTTCTTACATTGCTTTACCATTAAAAAACCACAATGCTTCGCTTTCCGAAGTCTGGCTGATCTGCCTGCCTTGCGCGAGGCTCCTTTGGAACAAACCGAAACCGTTCTCCTCAAAGGAGACAAGCACGAGACCATCCCCGCCTTCCGCTGAGAAAGCCGCAAATCTCCTGAAACCATGGATTCAGCTTCCGACCCCACTCCACCCGACTGAACTAAAGTCGTGAACTTGGAGCTTGGAGCTTGACGTCTCAAGTGGTGATAGCTTGAGTGACATGCGCCCAACCCCTTGAAAGGTGCAAAACTTTTAATGGACATCTCGGCGGCCTGCCGGGAAAATCAAAATTACACCAGCCTCGACCCCAAACAGCAAAAACGCATGACAGGTCTGTATAACTGTACAACCCAAAAAAAGGCTTGTCTCCTTCATGTAAGCTGCGAAATTGAGTAGCTTATGTGAGCAACACATAGTTACAACCAGTCCATGTATGTCGGCTGCAGGAAGTCCCCTTTTTTAGGAAGAGGACACATTG